ACACACACACACACACACACACACACACACACACACACACACACACACACACACACACACACACACGTGTGTTTATTGCACTAATGCAGTTTTGGGGTTCCTGATTTATATTGTTCTGTATTATTTACTATGTGTAGGAACGTGACTTTTTTAGGGATTGTGAAAATTATCTAATTTCCACAAATCCAAATGAATATCAATAAATATCAAGAGCCAGATGTCAACAAATATAACAAACACTGTTAGGAGGTTCGTCTTCCTTTCTTTGCTTTGATAAAAAAAGAGAAAAGCTCAAAATGATAACTAAATTACTTTGAAGTTTGTTGTTAAAAATGGTTTTTCAATGAATTAACACCAGGTAAATTATGGAAATATTAACAACAGATTTTGAAAATCACAAACAGAGTATTACAAGTGATAAAATACAAGATTTTATGTTTTTTGTAGTGACTAAAAACAAGTTTTCTATTCTGAATCAATCATTAATTTCTATTTGTAACTCTAAACATACCAAACATGCCCAGAAATAGTTGCCAAACCTCATGAAGGGCTTTTTAAAATAATGCTAACCTTTTGATTTAGGATTTTAAAACAGAAGTTGAGCCCTAGACGCCAACGGGTCTTTTCCGTGATCTCCATGTGACTTTTTTTACCCCTAATCTCCAATTTGATTATTATCCTCTAAATTTGAAAATGATAGACTTCAGTGTTTGTTTTTGCTATGTAATTTCCTTAAATGTTTTATTTGAGGGACTGCGGATGGAAATGAGCTCAAAGCTAAATCTGGCACTGTTACGCTCATTACTGTGCATTGTCCCTGCCAAATAAAAATGGATGCACAGAAACCATAGTGTTTTAATTCTTACACATAGTAAATGAAGATTTGCCTAAAACAAATTCGGTAGTACAGGATTTTCAATCGCCTTGGATATAAAGAAACCTCTGTATTGACTGTAGTGTCAATCTAGGACACTAAAATATAATTTGTAATGCATTGGCTGAAGTCCTTTGTAAAGCCTCTCAGATTCTAGCTTCATCTGATCTTATTTCCCATTTCATCTTCAAACCTATGCAAGTTGAAATATAGTTGAATAACATTTTTACTGAGTAGATTGTGTGGCGCCACTTGTTTTAATTCAGTCACAAAGTATTTCCTAGGTAGATACTGGTTCTAACTAAATATTTACTCCCACAGGTTACACAAGAACTAAGATAACGTTTGAAGTTTGACAATGGATGCTCACTAGTTCATCAACATGTGACTTGTCACATACAAGAGGCTTAAAGCTGGGCCTCGAAAATCCTAGCTGTGTTGATTTCAAAGTCCTACAACTCTATCTCATGCCTTCTTTTTGTAAAGCTAAAGCTTGTATTAAAATCCATGTCACCACCCCTTGTTCCCATTGGTCAGATCTGTGTAAGCCTGTCATAAGATTGGTTTAGTCGGTGGGCGGAGGCTTAGCATTCTTCAGAAAGCTTGTTAGATGTTTGGGGGGAAAAGCACTTATTGTTTCCAGATGCTAAAACGGAAAACATTTGTTTTAACTTCATCCTAGGTCTGTGCAGAAACACGGAGTTCAATAACTTTAGAGAAGAGAACAAGCTGTTTTATTTATCATGAAATTGAATTGTTTGCATCCTGCATATCCGAGCCTTTTATAAAACTGAAACATCCCTGGTTCAGTTTGAAATATATCAAGATGTTTCTTTCATGGATTCTACACTTTTCTATCCACTTGACCTCCTGCTACTAAATCAATGTCATCCGCTCCTCGGCACAGTGTGTGTGATGCATCTGATGGTTCTTTGCAAACTGAATTTTCTTCCAGGACTCTAAAATAAATATTCTCTGTGTACCCGGCAGGCATGGTGGGCTACGGCATGGCCAAAGCTGCTGTCCACCAGCTGTGTCAGAGCCTCGCAGCGAAGAACAGTGGGATGCCTTCTGGAGCCGTTGCTGTGGCGATACTACCGTGAGTACTTCAGTGAGATGTTGTGTACACACTCGATACACTCAATACACATGTCCTGAGGGGATGAATTTAAAACATCACAGTCACAGGAAGGGGGTAATAGTCCACCAACAGGTCTTTTGAGTGTCAAATACCCTCAGCCCGTGGCTCTAGCAATGGCTGTGGCTTGCTATCTTTTGCAGTAGAAGTAGAATAACGTGGCGCTATCCAATAACTGATGCCCTTCACTTTTAATAAAAAAAGTTTCTCTCTGAAGAGCCATGAGTCACAGTATTATAAGATACGGCTGCCCCATGTCTGTTACCTTAGAAACAGTTCAAAACCGTAACTAAAGCTGATGGTCCATTATGACTTTTCAACTTTTTTAACCAGCCACAATACTGGTAACAGCTGTAGTTGTCTACAGTAAACAGATTTTGCAACTTTAAACGGCCCCTATTCTGCTTTTTGGGTTTTTCCTTTCCTGTAGTGTGTTAAATGTGTATTTGTGCATGTTAATGGTCTGCAAAGGCTAAAGTCCCAAAGTTCCCTCCAGAAGGAGTTTCTCTCTCCCCCACTGCCTGAAACGCCTCCATTGACTCCTTTTGTTTTCTTCCGTAACATAATGACATGGTGAAAAGAGGAGCTGCAGCACAGGCAGAATGAGACAAATAAAGACCAAAAACATGTGTTTCTGTTAGGGCTGCACGATATTGGAAAAAACTGACATTGAGATATTTATTATTTTATATATTGCGATATGAAAAAATACAGGAATTGAAGAAAAGACAGTTTCTTTTGTCCGCAAACTGTTTCTTGAACTTTAATGCTTTACAATTGGTATTTTTTTAACAATATTTAACCGGATGAAGGATTTTAGTCACTGCTGGATCTTAAGTTATCAGATGAGCTAGCTCGCTTATCCTGCTGTGATCTGATCAAGAATGATTGTGATTGGTGGTTTGCTGTGCATGCAGAGCCTGCATGTCACTCACTCAAGTACCCCTGACATGAGAGCCGCGCGAGTTTTCCTTTTGTAGCAAGCAGCAAAATAATTGCAACATGACGTTTTTGAGTTAATTTGCCTACTTAATATCGCACGTCCTAAAAAAAGAAAAGAAAAAAAATTGCACGTCCTACACGATAACGCGATTATCGTCACGATATATCGTGCAGCCCTAGTTTCTGTATCTTAATCCTCTGCATTAAGCACTGCACTATGTCACTGCTTGTTGGATGTTATTGGGGTTCATTTTACTGTCATTGTCAGCCATTGAGTCCATATCCAGCAGAACAATTGTATTCTTCTTCTTTCGTGTAACGTCAGAGGTCCAACTCGGTGTTGTGTAGCCATGCATCGAAGAGGCTGGCTTCCGAGGGTGGTCTATATAAAGGGCAGGTGGTTATTATATGTTCGGCAGTCTGTTCAGGGTCACCGCACTCGCATGCAGCACTGTCTGCCAGGCCACAATTGTATTAAAGATATACAGGTCTGAGTTACTGTTGATTAGGGCTGCTCAATTAATCATATTTTAATCGCTATTACGATTATGGCTTGCAACGATTACGAAAACAACTTAATCAAAATAAAACGATAATTTTTTAATTATTATTTATTTTTATTTTTATTTTTTCTGGTTTTTCTGTTGAATTATACTTAAAGTTCACGGTAATCAACTGTTAAAAACATACTGTTCACATTTTTTTCTCCAATACATGGATGTTTTCAAAGTCAATGAATAATCGCATTTAATAATCGCAATTACAATTATTGACCCAAATAATCGAGATTATGATTTTTGCTATAATCGAGCAGCCCTACTGTTGACACAAATATCTTATATGTTAAAGCCTCATGTTGTGCTCAGGGTAATAATTATGATATTTAACATAAATATGTTGCACAGTGCAGCTTTAAATTCTCTATTAGAAGCCAGCAAAAAGAGTCAGAATAAAAAAAAACAATGTGCCGTAGAATAAACTCAGATTTCTATGTTGATGCCATGGATAAGTGCTGGGTGGAGATAAGGACTGACAGATGGAACAGGCTGCAGATCTGTTGTGATGCCCATGATCTGTTTTGGATGCGTTACGCTCAGTCTCTTTTGCATCATCGCCTCCTCTGAATTTAAAACCAGTTTTTGCAGAGTCATCGTGAGAAATGGGTTTTTTTCGGGGGGGGGGCTACACTGTTCCTGCTCTCTCTCTGGTTGTATTTTCCACCATGAGGCTACAGTGAGTCTTCCTCATCTGTCAAATCTGTTCTGCATTAGCCCCATGACTTGCATTTCTGCTACAGGCTGCATCCCCACCCCCACTCCTGCTGTACCATCATAAACCAACACTGCATGGCATTTGTTCAGTGGAAAAACAAGTCATTATATTTACAGCTGCACCAAATACTCATTGACGGAATAAAACGGCTTATATATCTTGTTAATTGATAATAGTTGGGCAAAAATGGCAGAAAATGCTTTTTTCAGGCTCTCAAATAAGGAGACTTCCTTCATTTGTTTTATATCATATTTAAGTGAGTACTTTTGGACCTTTGTCTCACAAAAGAAGACTCAAAAGTCACAATTTCTTGACATTAGAGACCAATCAGTTAACCGGCCTCATTCTTTCTACAATAATATTCTGCTTTATTAAAGCTATGTTCTTGTTATTATTTAAATGGATCTACGAAGCATATGCACATTGTAATTCCCTCAGAAACACTACAGAACACCTAGGTCAGGATGTTTTGTTGATCATAAGCTGTTGAACAGGGACGCTGCATGTTAATATCAGAATAGTTCTTCTAAAGGTGAAAAGAAAAGCGTGCAGTGTGGAATTGCTAAGTGATATTGAAGTCATGAATATGATAATCAAACAGAAACACGATGCCGTGTGTGTGTGTGTGTGTGTGTGTGTGTGTGTGTGTGTGTGTGTGTGTGTGTGTGTGTGTTGTGTGTGTGTCGTCCTCCTCTCTTCTCTATCGCTGCCGTCACTCCCCTGATTGTCATCTGCCTTAATTTGACAGGGTTACCTTGGATACGCCGATGAACAGGAAGTTCATGCCTGACGCAGATTTCAGCTCCTGGACGACGCTGGAGTACATCGCAGAGTGAGTGAGCGGATAATAAGTCATAGTGTGATATACAGGCTGGAGAGAGCAGCTGTGACATGCTCGTATAGATGCTTTCATCAATACAAATCTATATCATGTTATTTATTTTTGCTATAGGGTCGTTTTTAAAAGTGGTTCTTGTCTAAATGGCTGTATTTGGTTTTAAGTCATAATGGAAATACATCATTAAATGCACATATCATTGCTTTCCTTAGATTCTTGATCTAGGTCCACACTCAAATGACATTACATTATCAATCTCGTGTTTTCTTTGTTATTTACAGTACATCACTTGTCTTGAAAAAATTATGATCACCATTTATTTCTAGTTAAGTTGTTACGGAAGAGGGTATTATTTTTCGAATATTCTGCCAAACAATTTCTGAATGAATCTCTGTTTTCTGTAAAATATCAGTTGTGATAAAAATTTGAATTTTAAACAGTTAATATACCATTACAGTAATCCAACCTTCCTGTAGTAAAGTAGGTGTTCTGTATGCTTGGTGTAAATATTCCTGGGTTCTGGATGGTTACTCACATATTCATCTCAAATGCAATATTCAAAAAGAGAAGGAGAGAGAATCAAAATGTGACATTTCTCCGCTAGATGTCTGGCAGTGCAGAATGATTGATGTCTGTGTGTTTCTGTTTGTGTTCCCTGCCGGCTCATGACTGTAGCTCATCAATTTTTCTGTCTTTGTTTGTATTATTCATGACATTTATTCTCTTACTTATACTAGCCAAACACATCTACATCAAACATGTAATCCTACTCTACACCATGAACCATTTACCTGACAATACAGATGTCAACACTAATGCAAACTACAAATAATATGCAACAGGTGATTTTATATTTCCGTATTTATCCATCTATTCCAAAACAGGGAAGAGAGGATTTGATATACATGTATTTATTTCACTTTTGTTACATTTGAAAACAACAAAAACTAGAACATGGACTTAATTGAAATACCATTTTAGGTCATTAAAGTCATGAAAACGTTTTTGAACCCCCTGAATAAACCCTGGCTGCTTTA